TGTAAACTGTGGGGCCCACAGCCTAGGATTGAGATACAGAGAGGAATTTATTCACAAATGTCACAGGTGCTGAACAGTGATCACAAACCCTTCCTGGAGGTATTTTCAAAGCACTGCCACAGTGAACTCCTCTGACATTCTAGGACAGACATTCAATTGAAAAAGACGGAAATGGCCTGCCTGCCAAACTAAGTGAAAATGAACCATCAAAAATTCAGGCACAGTAAGGCCCCCTTATCAGGGTTAGCTTTTTAAAGAAAATTTAAAACTAAAACATACGTAAGCAACCAAGAGAGAAAATATGCCTATAGTTTATCTCGTCATTCACAGATCTACAGCAGTGGCAAAGAAAGACCGAAGCTAATAATAAGAAAATGAGAAGATCTATGAAAAACTTTAAAAAGAAATGGTAAGTATGCAACTGCCTGCTCTGTTTTCCATGCATGGAGTAAGACGTGACAACCTTTTCTAGGGAAGCCACCTGACTTAAGATGGCCAGCCATTCTGATTTGCTGGGGATTACACATTTCTGGGGACTTTCCTCATAGTACTGGCTGAAATGAACCGCTATGAACTCTCGAAACAAGCTGAGTGCACACGATCCCTGGAAAGGTGTAGTTCTCTTTGTACTGACAAAAGCGGGCTCCCACACGAGGTTGTTTCCGGAAGAAATACTGTATAAAACCCACTAGGCTTTTTCTCAAATTTGTTTCCTTTATGCTACTGGCTTCTCTTAGTTCACTGAAAAGAAAAAGAAAGGTTTATGCTGTTATCTTTTTTTGTTGTTGTTTTTATAGCAGAGAGTCTCTTTTGTGTATGACTTGTTCTCTGAATTACATTTTAGCCATTCTTTTAGGATTATGGTACATAGTGTATTATGTTGTTCTCTATTTCATTATGTTTTCATAGAAAAGGTGTTTTTTATATTTTCTTGATTAATAGCTACATATTTTGCATTAAAATAAAAATAAAGGGGGCTGGCAAGATAGCTCAGCAGACTAAGCGCCTGTTTAGGCAAGTGCAGGAACCGGGGTTCCATCCCTGGTACTGTGTGCTGTGCCGGTGCTGGGCCTTCGGCCCTGGACACGCTGAGCTGGCCTCTGAGACCGGGGGTGATGGTGCAGGCCTGTTATCCCAGAGCTGGGGAGGCTGAAACAGGAGGATCACTAGGAGCCCAAGCTGCTTAGTGAGACCCTCTACCAAATACACATGCATAAGCATTAGGAACTGAACGATGGATATCCAGGGACTCTATAATAACGAATGCACCCATATGAAGAGAACTCGAAATAAAAGAGAGAGCCCACGTGATTCTAAATAATTTAAATCAAATGGGAAAGGGCAGTGAAAAATTACTACTGTGAAAAGAAAAGGACCAAAGATAGTGGACACTATCATTCCTTCATTCCCTTCAGTGCTCTTATGTTTGATAGAATAAATCGGAGTCTATTCAGCCCTGGAAAAATAAAGCAGGATAGAAGAGAATGCCTGTGTAACATTAGAGGTTTGGAAGACTGCTGAGGAGATGAGTTCCCTTCTTGCAGAGAGAGCGATCAATGACATTTTACACACACACAAAGCCATTACACAGCTCAAAGAGCCACAGGGTTACTTTTTGGTAACATAAGCCAGCTTGTAACTAAGGAGGATTAAAGGATTACACTTCATTTATATATTCAATTGTCTGTCTATCTGCTTTTCTCACTGTAAATTACACAGCTCTCATTACCACAGTGCTGGGGCAATTTGAACCTGGCCTTCTTAAAATGTACTTCTCAAATTCTCAGAAAAAAGGCATCAATATATGGGAGAAGCTGAATGAAATTTTAAAAATGAGATACACAAATGTATCCTGGTAAAATCAAAGTAGACTGGTCATATAAACAATGTATGAGATGGGCTTGTGGGCTCTGTCCCATATGCTTTTGTGTCTCTATCCTGCCAGCCTTTGCTCCCAGCTCATCTTTCTACAGCAGATTAGAGGTGGCCATAAATTCTTTGACACTCCCTACACTGAGATGGAGGTTTATAGCCTCTCTCATTGAACTTGGGGAGTCTCTGTAGCTACTTTAGTGAACAGAATATTGGGGAAATGATGCTGTGCTGATATCTAAGACCAGGTCTTAAGAGATTGGAAACCTTATTCTTGGAGCCCTAGGAGTTATGCTATAAGAAGCCCTGTGAGAAAGACCCCCACGGAAAGAGCCTGGGTACCTGGGAAAGAGGGAGAAGCTAGCTTTAGCATAGCAGCCATCCCTCCTGAGGCCCTAGGTCAGCTGCCAGCTGCACACTACCACGTGGCCACTGTATGAAGTCACTATGTTGTACAGTAATTTATTGCACAGTAATAGATAACCATAACTCATTCTAGAGTAAGAGTGGAAGCTTGTTTCATCTAGCTAAATCAGGCCTGCTTCCTGGTTTGACAAGGCTTGATTGGAAAACAGCTATTTATTTGCAGATTGTCAATGTTGAATCAAAAGCAGAGCTGAGCATTTTTGCCTAGAAGACACTATAGCACACAAAACCTAAAATATTTGTTATCTAGCCCTATACTAATCTCCCTCTTAGCCTCCACTGCCACCCTAGAAAGCCTTACATATAGAACTTGTGATTCTCTGTCCTTGGGAATATATAATAACCAAACTATTGCCATTCACCATGTAGTTTCACTAGACCAGAAGACAGAGATCTTAGGGTGACTTTGGCCAAGGTATATAACCTTTGGAAAACCAGTTCAACTCTCTTGATCTCAGGTCCCTTGTTAGCAAAAGGAGACTGAACAGGATCTGTCTTTCCCTCTAAGTGTTCCATGAAACACGAGACACAGGAAAAACAGATATTTGGCCACACTGCATGTCCTATCCTTCTGGAAACATGCAAGCACAGCAATGCAATAAAGAAACCAGAATACATTTGTTTACATAAGTGTTTTCCCAAACATGTTTGGTATGAGGGCTCTCTCCCCATACCACCTGTTGTCATCACACTGAACCTACATTGTAAAGAATATGTGCTAGAAGGTACTATGTTAAGTACTCTTTAAAGCCCCTTATTGCTCTGAGAGTCCATGAATCTAGGATTCATTCTCCTGCCTACAGAAAGTTAATCTTTTTTTCAGTGCTTATTTAGACCTCTCTTTCCAAAAAACACTGCTGCCTTTAACTTTTTTTTTTTTTTTCAATATGAGATTTCACCAATGAAATCTGCTGACTTTTCAGACTGGAAATGCAGTGGCCAATTAAGCAAGTAGCAGATTCTCCTAAAGGAACTAAAATGACATAGTCATCTCCAATCTTGAGATGACAATTACAATTATAGTCGTGAAGTAAAGCAACAAATGGAGACACACTTTTAAATTGCTCCTGGCCTTCATAATCTGAAGATTTCTTCATATGTTCCAAAATAAGAGTATACAGCTCCTTCCTAGCATCACGAATGCTATTTATGCAATATCAAATGTTTAGAAAATGTTAAGTTGAAGTAACCCTCCTTATCCAGACTGCTTGTTTAAAATGCCAGGTCAGGCTGGGGAGATGGCTCAGTGGAATAAGCACTTCCCTAGCAAGTGCAAGGGTCTGAGTTCAATCCCCGGTTCCACAAAAAAATAAATAAATAAAATAAAATAAAATAAAATAAAATAAAATGCCAGGTCATCTGGCCAGTTACAAGAAACAAAAACATGTTTATCCTGCTAAGATAATGACAGGGCTAGACTATCTTGAAGTGTATGTGGCTGTTTGAGATTCCTAACCTGGGGACAAGTCCTAAAGTAACTCACAGTATTAGTCATATTTAAGAATACACATTTATTTTTTTAGTTTCAGCTATTTCAGATGTTACAAGTCATACTAAATGTACAAGCACTCAGTGGTCAGCCCACTCAGTGAGCTAAAGTAACTCAGTTTTAGTGTGACGCAAGGACTTCCTCCAGGAATTACTAGACTAAATGTTAATAGACTCATTTTCATAAAAAGAAAAGGCATTTTTTCATAAAACTCCTGTACTTCTACTTCTGTTTAGATTGTTGTTTCGCAGAACATAAAACTGATACAACAGCATAGTTCCTGGCTTTTGGTAACTGGACAGTAAAGATTATCTTCCTTTAACTGTGAAGCATCACAGGCTCAGGGGCTGTGAAATATGTTGTTTTATATTCATTCAGTGCTTTGATCAAACCTTCCACTTCATTAGTAGGTAATGTGACATTGGCTTTTGAGACAGGCAGATCTAGATGATCTAATCCTTATTTGCTGTATGACCTCAGGGGAATTAACCTTTCTGTTTGCAATTACCTGAGCTATAAAATGAGTATTACATTGACTATTTTATTAGGTAACTGACTTCCATCCCACCACTGCTTGCCTTCCAATGCAGCAGCTGTTTTCTGGCAACAGCACTAGAAGAAAAGTTGCTATAATATAATTTTTAAACCACTCGATCCTAACCCTTTCATTTGCTCTAACCACAAGGCTCCTCTAGTTCCAATCAATTCTTAATCTTTAATATCATCATCTCTTAATGCCTTGCAAAACTTTCTGGCAAGACAGTTAAAGGAAGGTCAAACTGGCATGTTTTATTTTGTTCTTCTCATTTTTAAAAGCATTCACATAACTGGATGCTGTATAAGAAATGCTTTCCTGAGAGCATGTGGAGTAATGGAAATAGCACAAAAGAGAGTGGGTGTCGGCCACTGCACTCATTTCTTTTTTTGTTTGGTACAGGAATCAAACTCATGACCTTGTGCTTGCCAGACAGGCACTTGTGCTACTGAGCTATATCCTTGGCCCTAATTTCTTATTGCAAGGTAACCATCACCTGTTCTGGATGTCTGAGCATAAACTTCATAACACCTGCAACTTATTCAAAGAAATCCTTCAGATTTTTAACAACATACGTACCATCATTCTAGACTAAAAAGGACACTGCTCACACGAAAGGAGTAAACAACCCACTTCTAACTAGATGAGAATGATTAAGACAAAAATGATCATACTTACAGGAGGGCATTGTGCAAGTTTATCAGCTGCCACCAACTGAACATTCAAGTGTTTACTTTGGGACTTTCCTCTAGATTTAATCAACCGCTGTAAAACCTGATAGAAGAAGACATGAACCTGAGGTCTTATCAGTGAGTTGAGAAAAGCAAATAAGCCAGGAACTTTTTAATAGTCTGCTCAGTCCTGAGGGTTAGTAAAGAGGAAGTATAGTGCAAACAGAAAACACTGTACAAGCTCTGAAATGATGCCATCCACTTACACCGGCTCTCAGTGGAGTGGACTTCATATGCTCATCCTATTCTAGGTCCACCTGAGATGTTGGTAGGACTGAATTCCCACTTTAGGTTTTGAAATCTCTTTGACAAAGAGTCTTACTAAAGTAGAGAAACTGGTTTGTACTAGGCCACTTATATTGAGTAATATTTTGATATTATTCAGTTGAGTAACATTTTGGCTTACCAGCTCCATGTTAAATATCAAAGTCATTTATATATTCAGTTATTTTTATCAACTACAATTAATGAATCATTTCAGTTTACTTTTACATTAATCAAACTATTTCAGACTGCCTGGAAATCTAGGCAAAATACTTGTACTGGTACATTCCTATACACAAACTAATATGTCTGTCTTTTGGTCACTGCTGCAAATGTATTTGACCATAGCTTCTCCTTTTAATATTTTTGTTAGCTGAAATAGAGCTAAAACAATGCGAGTCTATAAAGTCCATGAAAGCTAAGTTCACAGGTAAAGGAGTGTCCCTGTTCCCACACTTTAGGGTGCTATGGTGATGGAGTAGTGGGAGGGGCTGACCTCTACTCCACTGTGGCAGATAGAGCTTGAGTTCCAAGAAACTTGGGTCATGGAGACCCAGGGCTGGCCGAGGAATTCTACCGACTCCTCAGATCATTAAGATTCCCAAGGTTTGGGCTGGCAAGATAGCTCAGTGAACTAAGCATCTTCTTAGGCAAGTTCAGGGACTGCAGTTCAATCCCCAGCACCACATGCAGCATTGGCCTCATCCCAGGGTGGGCTGAACTGGCCACAGAGGTTGGGCATAGTGATGCACACCTATAATCCCAGCACTGAGAAGGCTGAAAACAGGAGGATCACTAGTAGTCCGAGCTGTGTAGTGAGGCTCTGTACCAATACATAAAGATTCCCAAGTTTATTGCATGTAAGCAATGCCTGAAGAGATGGAAGGCCAAAGAACTGAGAAGATTTGGAGAAGGTACAGCTTCTTCAGATTTTCTCCACCCTTGGAAAGAGACCATTGATCTGGCTGTGAGTTTGAACTTAGGCAAATAAAATACATTTAGAAGGCACTGAAAAGAAACCAATTAAGATAACACCTCCCAGGTATAACTGTTTTACTTTTTTAATTTATTAGGCACATGTGTATAGTACACAATGTTTACATTCCTTGAGGGAAGTTGGTACTTGTAGATAACACAGCCCAATTCCTTTTTTCATCCTCTTCCCTTTCTTTCCCTCTCCCCTCCCCATCTCTTGAGCCCCTTATGTTCTTTGTGGGGAGCATGCTTGTGGTGCATGATGCTTACAGTCCTTGTGTGGAACTGGTATATAGCCTGTCCCAATTCCTTCTGTTCATCCCCCTCCCTTCTTTCCTCATCTCCCTCCATCTCTTGATCTCCTTCCCCTGTGAGAATGATCTGTCTCCCTATTTCATATTATCTACCTTTCATTCTTCTCTTTTGTGCATCTAACTCATTTCACTTAACATTTAAGAACATCACTTTTTAAGAATAAAAGGATACTTTAAAAAAAATAATAAAAGGACATTCTAATCAAGAGGCAAATTTGGAGTGGTCTCACATTCTTTTTTCCTTTCCTCTAGTTGGATGTTATGTATGAATCTATCACAAACTGTGCTTCATTAAAACAGAATGATACTCCTTAAAGCACCCAGCCTAGGCACAAGTATCAAGGTCTATAACATTCCATGAGACATTTATGCAACGCTGTTTCACATTATATACGATGAACACATGCTTTTCTTGAGCTATAGTGTCTCCCAAATAGGGAGAGAATGTAGCTTTTTTAAGCATCAGTATTATCCAAGAAATTTAGCAAGATAGAATCTATGGTCTATGAAAAGTCAGAGCCTACCTTTCCTCGCTTTTGTTATTTTTCTTGTTTCTGTTGTATACTTCCTAGCTACCTGGTTTGGGATCATAATAGTGAGGTTTTTTGAAGGAGTAGACTATTTTTTATTTGCTATCTCAAAATATCCTAGAACCTGCACACTGTTTTAAAAAGTACTTATGCACAGAATCCCAGTAAGACCTCTTACTAACAAAAAAGAACAGAACAATGAATATTTCAAAAGAAATGCATTTCTAATCCTTAAGGCAGAAATTAATTACCTTTGGGGACGAGACTTTGACATGAACAATAATTGGCGCTAAGGAGGTTTTTATAAGCTGTGCTGGGTGATTGATGGTGTCAGCGTCAAGAACCACCAGTTGCAAAGACCTCGCGAGCTCAAAGATTCTTTCAATTTCACTTTGTACTTCCGCTAAAAGGAAAAACAACACATACTGGTTATTCTCATTCATTACTGTTTATATGAAAAAGAAACAGTACACTTTTCAGGTATGTTTGTCTATATGACAAAACAAAATGTTTTGAATTTTTATAGGCCTAGTTTAAGATCTTTTCTAATAATACAAAATAGGTTGCATTTTGCATACAATCAAATGGTAGAAAAACTTGAGGTAGTTCTGTTGACTACATTTGACACTCAATCTAATATTTAGCTCTCTATATAGCTATGGTGATTGTTTTTGATTGTTGCTCTGTTCAAAAGAATTTTCATTATTAGCTATAATCTGAGACCACATTTAGGAAACAAGTAAAGTGCATGTGAAATGTACCATTACAGAGGAAGCAAATTATATGAAAATATTTCTATCCATCAACAAGTTATATATTGGTATTTTGTAAATATACTTTCTTAAAGAAGAACTACAACTTGTGCTGACAATTATGCACATTCTTATGCCCTTGGCTAACTGTTCTAAGTGTTCTCTTACAATTAACATATTACTAAGTCTAGCTGCATTTAAAGTATTACAGCTAGAGGGCTTTTCTAAAGCATACTCATCTGTAATATTAAAGGAACAAACAACTAAGGGCTAATTATATTAAAATGCTGCATTGCATCTAGTTGCAAATATATTTGGCTGGCTATAATAGACAAATAACTGGAACCCATACACGAGTCTGGTCCAACACAAATTCTAGTTCTTTTCAAATGGCTGAAGCAATCCAGCTATTTTTTAAAAGGAAAATATGATAAAAAATATTCCATGGCTCTCTGAAATAGTCTTTTATGGTTTTTTTTAGTACCTAATTTATTGGATACTTCCCCAAATTTAATCTGTACTATTTTATTTTCAGATAAATTATTTTGTTATTTTGTCCTTAAACTTATTTTTAAGGTTAATAAAGTTGTATCTAATTCAAAGTACACAGAGTAGACAAAGTTACTTAAATGATATCAAAAAAGGCCTAGAGAAAAGTTAAAATTATTTTAAATTTCATGACAAAGGGTTTGTGCTAGAATTCCGTGCTTGCTTTGCTTTGCTTATCCAGTAAAAATTTAAGTTCACATCACTCACCAAAAAAATCTACCTTCCTTAATGAAAAGGATGCATTAGGGATGCAGGACTATGAATCCTCAATTATCACATAACTATTTGGGAGGAGTTTTATGCAATAGCAAAAATCTCTTGCTTCCTATAGAATTCCTGGTGTTTAGTACATAATCTGCAGTAGACGCTGTGAGTTCAGTGAGCCAACACATCTATCACTGCTCACACCTCATCTCAAAGGCCAGAGTGGCTGCATGCTGCTGTGCCGGATGACTCGCTTTCAAGATGCTATAAGGACAAGTAGGCTTATTAAACAAATCCTTCTGAAATTACGTTCCACATTTGCTAGTAACAATAAACAGATTTCCCCTTTTTCTCTGGCATGTCAGAAACACTTTTTTAAAAAAGAAATTTTTCTTAAGAAGTTTGGAAAATAGGAATAAGCGCTTCCCTGGCAAGCGCAAGGGCCTGAGTTCAATCCCCGGTTCCTCAAAAAAAAAAAAAAAAAAAAAAAAGTAAAAAAATTAAAAAGAAGTTTGGAAAATAAAGCCTATTTTTACCATATTAAGTTTAAGCCTTGAGTTATGGGTTATGTGCTGTATTTGTTACTTAAAGGAGAAGCAAAATGGTAGAAAAACATTTAGAAATGATACACAGAATTTCACAAAACAAAGTAATAGGAATTCAACAGTGGGTGTTGTATTGCATAATGTTATCTTCAAATTAGTTGTTTAGATTACCAGATATAAGGGCGGTGACCTAGCTCAGCGGTTCCCGCGCCGGGCTCTAGATTACCAGATATAAACATGCAAAATTGGCTTATAAAAAGAGTTATAAGAAATTAAAAAGAAGAAACAATTTAAGCACTAGCCTGCCACTTAAGGGGCTTAAGGGAGCTCTTGCCAGCACTATGTCAAAAGAAGTCTATATTGTTTGAACTTTAAATCTGAACATACAATGTTTTCTGAAGTAAGAGAAAAGCAGTGATGCCAACTGGACTGCCCTGATGCACGAGCCTTAAGACGCACTGAGTCTCTGTCTAAATAACCTGGAAATGTCTGGGCCATGTGACTCTGGCCAGCGACGAGCTTTTGTGTCCTTCCTGAGGGGGCAGAGGGCAGGCACAGCCACTGTTAGCCAGCATACAACCTGGGGGCCACCGACGCTCTGCAAGGCCAGGTGTGGAGCGGGGCTAGAACAAGGCAGGGGGCCAGAGGGCTGTGCTACGTACTGGGGTGAGCCACATGCTTGGATAATACAGATGCAGAATTTAATAAAAAAATTACAGGTATAGGAAGAAAAATACATTTTTACCTACATAGCTCATTTTCTTTTTTTAATTAATTAATTAATTAATTTCTGTATTTTAGGACAGGGTCTACAGGGTCTCACTATGCAGATCGGACTTGTAGTGATTTTCCTGTTTTCAGCATCCCAAGTGCTGGGATTACAGGCACACACCACCATACCCAGTCTCAATGCGCCCCAGGAGCAGGGCCAGTGCGGCACACTGGGGACTGAACCCCGACTACTGTGCTCTGCATAAGCAGGCGCTTTAGTCCGCTGAGCTATCAGGCCGGCCCTGTAGCTCATTTTCTTAAAGAAAAAAAAAAAGCAAATCTCAACCATACCAAGCAACCTTGGTTACGTGATTCTCAGAGCACTACCAAAGGAGGTTTTTGTAATTCTAGTCCAGGCAAAGGGAACTTGGACGGTCATAGGCTATGATGCTGGAGGTCCTTGATAATTTTTTTTTTTTTTGGTACCAGAGATCAAACTCAGGACCTTGCGCTTGCCAGGTAGGTGCTTAAGTCACTGAGCTTCTCCCTGGTCTGATAAATACTTCTATAGCCTGATCACAAGTTATCTGGGCCCCCACCTCCAGTGTCTGACTAATGTTCTCTCCTATAACCAAATCTGTTCATACTTCTCCCATGCTTAAATAATGTTGCTCCCTAGGCCCATAGCAACATTTCACAAAATGAATACCCTGGAATAGTAATGCCACATGACTTCCTATGAAAGAAGAAGGGCTTTATACAAAGGATATGTTTCGTACTAGAGTGGCTTCTTTTAGAACTTCAAATGGACACCAGACTTTCTATCTTACAGGATTTAAGAAGCCTTGCCATGAAGAAAACTGCCAGCTGTCTACTTCATCATTTCCAAACTTATTTGACCATGGAAAACATTTTTAATATAGCAATTATAAATAAACTGTAAACATCTCATGGACTGTAAGTTCTCTGTAATGGTTGATACGCTGTGTCAGCTCGAGCAGTTCAGAAGCTTAAGCAAGTGACTCAGCAGGGGCCCAGGGTCTTCACTTGGCAAACATCCTCTTCCTGTGCAGGAGAAGGGCACAGACACGGTGTGGGTAGGCTGCATACTATATAAAGGAGGAAGAGAGGTTTGCTTTTCCCCTTTTTGCTCTTGCTGCCTTTGAACTGTTGTCCCTCTACTGTGCTACTCTGCCTTGGAGCCAGCTGAAGATGGACTGAAACCTTCACACACCATGAGCTAAAAAAAACCCAAAAAAATGCTTCCTGGCTTAATTTTGGGCGTCAGGTATTTGATCTCAGCAATAAGAGAAAAGTAACCTACATACGCTCTTTAGCAAGGTCACTAGAGCCCTAACAGAGGGCTCCCATCTACTTTTTCAGTCTCTTCTTTGCTCTCAAGCCACACCCTACTCTCCTTTACCAAATCTGCTATGCACAAGTCTGATTGTTTCTTAGTCACACAATTCTTTTTGCCTACAGTATATGTTTGGGCTATGTAATGACTATATTGATTGTGAGGCATTGGTACATTGTATATTGCATCTTTAAAAAAATGTATTTAGGGCTGGTGAGATGGCTCAGTGGTCTAAAGCACCTACTTC